AGACTTTAGCTATGCCTTTATCATGCGGGTCTCGAGCGTGGCCTCGTTTGAGCGCAGCGTGGCCTCCAGCGCGGCGAGGCTTTGCTCGAGGATGGTATCGTAGTGGTTCGGGTAGTATCGCATGACCTCCTCAAACGCCTCCTCGGTGAGTACGTACAGGATGCAGTTGTCCAGCGCCCTCGCCCCGGCTATACGCCGCGTCGCAGTAAGCATCGCCAACTCGCCCGCTCCCATCATGCAAATAAGGCGCGTTAAGCCTTGCTGCGCGCATGGGCACGCGTCACGAGAGCGGCGGCGGCGAGTGCAAGAAGCATCACACCAAAGCTGTGCAGCAGGAACGCTGCCGCGATCCCCAAGTCGAGTGCCACAACGGCGGCGAGGAGGACCGGTGAGGGAGCGCGGGCAATGGTGTTGAGGGACGCCTGGCGGCCCGCGAGGAAAGCCTCAAGGTGCGCGTCGTAAAACGCCTGGGCCGACTCGGGGAAAAGGCGGGCGAGGCTTGAGCAGAGCGAGCGTTCGGAGACGAGCAGCCCCGTGGCAGAAAGCATGAACGGTGCAATCCACTCGGGGTGCGATGACGCCACGACGGGGGTGCCTTTGGGGCCGGCGGCGAGGATGTAGCCAGAGGTAGTGACGGGGTTGATGATCGCGCCCGTGGTGAGCGTCGCGCTCTCGACCTTTGCACCATCGAGATTCGAGCCGGGCTTGACATCTCGCGCCGCCGCGAGCACGCCGTCGACACGAAGGACGTGGTCGGGGGTGAGTGCGAGCGAGCCGCCGCTGTGGCTGATGCGCACCATCCGCGCCGACAGCACCACCTCCTTGTGCTGGTTGACTATCACGCGCGCAATCTCGGCCATCGAAGAGAGCACGCGGTCGCCAGATCGGAGCTCGGCCATGAGCACCTTCTCCGCCGCGCCGCCCGAGCCAGCGCCGAAGCAGTCCTCGTAGGCGGCGGGCGCGGTTGCGTCGGGCACCAGGATGCGGCACGCGTGCGCAGTTGCGCGGTCAAAGCACGGGTTCTCGACGCGGACGCAGGTGTACTGGATGCCCAGCTGGCAGGAGTCATACGGCGACGGGTTCGATGGGTTTGACGCGTCGTGCCACACTGGAGCGAGCGATGACTCGTCGCATCCGACCTGTTTGGGAATCGGGCGGGCGGTTGAGCCAAGACGCGAGGGAGGCACGGGCGGGGTGTGAGGAGGGCAGCGCCGCACCGCCCCCGTGCCGATCGAGTACGGGATGAAGACGCCCTCTTGCGAAGCCAGCTCCGTGCCGGTGCAGTCGGTGTTGCTGAAGGACTTGATGGTGAGCTCTGT